TTTCTTCGTCCGACGAAGACGACATCTTCTATGCATCTATGCGATTGCTACCTTGATGTGAACATGTCTGCATCTTTTTTGTCACGTTACATGCTGCTAGCCACGTATCGTGCTACGCTACGCAGTATGTTACTTCGGTGTGAAATCTGGCTAAGGTGTCCCATTAGTCGGCTGTAGTTGGGCTATAAGCCGAGCGAATTGTTCGTCCGTGAGGGTTGCCATTATCGGGTTTAATCTCGGGCTTCTTCTTGGTGCAGCTGTTGTTCCGCGAATTTTATACGTACACTCGCCTCTGCATTTCTCCAGCCACACGTTGTTGGGCGCCAAAATAGTAGTGAGAAAGTTTTTCGTTTCAAAGTAAAGTTTATTTAAACATATAAAAATATAAAATTAACAAAAAAACATAAGAAAAAAAATTTAAGACTATACGCACTAACAACGGAGAACTCCGGAGTTGTGTTTGGAATACGCTCCTCTCTCAGTAGATCAGCTCTTAGAGTGCGACCAAGATGAGAGCTGCCGTTCCTGGAAAAAACTTAAAAAAAACTTTTGGGTATTTCATTCCCATCAGCCACTAATGCTGGTGGACGGGCAGTCCCTCCGGACTACGCCGGAGGTAGGGCGGAAGGCCCTCTTCAGCCTACTTTCAGGAATCGTGGTGGTTCGGGTGAGAAAGTTGAGACGGACGAAATAAAGACAGAAGAGAATGAAATATTATCTGTGGAATATTACTGCCCCAGCATTTGCCTAAGTGATCCAAGGAAATCACAGAAAAACTTGGACCAAGGCAGACGGACCCGGAATCGAACGGGGGTCCTCCCGAATGCTAAGCAATGGTCTAAACCTCTAGGTCATGCCGCTCGGTGCCGTTCCTGGCCGGGGCATCTCCTTTTATTCACGTCTGGCGTGAAGGGGTTGTCGAGCGAGTACCGAGAAGGTGATTTTCAGGAGTACGAGAGCGATGGAGATCGAACTGCTTAAGTTGCAAGTGCGCCAAAATATAAGTTTTAAAAATGGTCCGCGTTACAAAACGTATTATCTGTTTCGAGTCTAGATTCTATAGCGAGCAAACGTTTTTGTTGAGAATTTTCGCAGTAATGCGCTTGTGGTGAGAGAATTCGTTTTTCGGGAATTTCTTCAGTTTTCCAAAATTTCGTCAAAGTGTTATTGAGATATTATTTAAATCTATTGTTCCTGTAAAAATCTAACGTAATAAAGTTTTCCGAAGTACTAGTTTACCTATACCCAATTTGTATTGATTCTGACGAAATAATGCCTAAAATATGCTTGCTCCGAGTAAAACATCTGTTGGTTTCATTATTTTATTATTTATATTAAACTCTGGATCAGCATAATAAGAACCTGTCTCATGTCAATAAACTGCTACTGAAGCTAACACTAGGATTTTTTTCTGCAATTGATTCTAAAGTGAGAAATAATAGATTTACTTTTAATGCATTAAGCCATTAACCAATTTCTACCTTTGTCCGATGAGTGATAATTGTGGTTTTTTAATTTATTCCTGTAATTAAAATCTTAAATTCTTCAGATTTTGAATTTAATTTTCTGTATAGCTCTTTTTTGTAATTATATTGGTTTGACTTCTTGAATCTAAAAGAATATTGCAAACTAGTGCCTTGTATTTTTTCTGTTGTCAATAACACAAACCCATTTAATTGTTTGTTACCATTTATATGTACTGTTGAAGTCTCTAAAATTACATTGTTCTTATTTTTAACATCTGTGACACAAAAACTTTGCCTTGCTTGTATTAATTTCATATGATGTTTGATTGTATATATTTTTATGTAATGTGGTAGATCATCTACTTCTAGTAACCTTTTTTATTCTTTTGAGCGCACGGATCCTCTTGATATATACGATTGGTTTCCCTTTTTTTTTGGGACTACCTGATTTGATTTTGAGTTTCATCGTCTGAGTTTATGTAATAATGCATTGTGATTATGTTGCAACGTTTACATTTTCCTGATTTACAATTTAATTTTAAATGACCTGGACGAAGACAATTAATGAACACCTTTAAGTTTCTTATCTGGATGTATTTTCGACTATTAAATACAGCAAGGATATTGGACCTGTACATTTTCAAGTATCTTTAAGTTTGTTCTGAATATTAAAACTTTTTTGGTTTCATATAACTTTTATTTTCATTAGCTTGATTATTTGTTGTATCTAAGATGACGTACCTTTATTTCTTGTAATTTGCAATTGCAATTTTTTATTCAAAAATTTCATTATTTCAGCATAAGTAGGTAAATAATCATCACCGTTTAATGAAATTTCCCAATTGTGGTTTGTAGTGTTTACCTTTGATGTGATTAAATTTACTAAAATTGTTTCCCATTGTTTAAGTTACGAATTTAATTTTTCTAACGCGGCAGCAAGATAAAGAAAACGTCCGTTAATTGTTTTAAAGAAAAAGCTGATAGTACATTTAATTCAAAAATGCTGTAATGTGTGTGTTTATTGTATTACGTTATTGTATGTTGAAATCTGTTAACTAGTTTGTTCTACGGTGTTAAATAACTATCATCAAGATTTCAAAAATCTCAATATAGGTGTGTTTAATAAGTTTAAATTAATTCAGTGTATTGGTGAATTAACTCTTCAAATTAATTTTACCCACTAGGCTCAGATAACCTAAAATTAATGAGCAAAAATTGTTGCTGCTTCGCTCTATTGCTGAAAATCGATCCCGAGAGGTGACAGCAGAAACACCTTACCTGAGAGTATAAGTAGCAAAATCATCGAACTAATGTATAATCATTATTATTAATAAATAAAATTGAACGATATTCACACAATTATTAGTATTTTGATCGTTTAGAGATATACTTAGTTTGGCACGACACAATAACAAAAAATCAAATGGGCGTAGTGAACAGTCATTATTCACTATGTACAGTAATATTAACGAAAAAGTTATATACAAAAGGATGTAGCGTAATAGAGAAGAAGATAGCGAAAAAGTTGATAGATTGATAAATAAGTTGAAGGTTGAAGAATGACGGTGAGATAACTGATAGCGCGTTCTGATCTATTCTGGGTTCTCTAATTTCGGTTTTCAGGGTTTTTAAACGGTTGTAAGAAAGTGAGTAGGGGAACATTCACGGAGGATTCTAGTTTGGTGTTATTCGATGGAATACCAGAAAAGTGGATAAAGGAGATGACCGTGACTAAGGTAATGAGCGTAAAAATGTGTAACTGACAGAATGTAGCAAAGGGCATATATATAATATTCCTATATTGCTATTTCCCGTAAGTGGAAGTGTCACGGAGTAAGTGAGACAACAAACGACTACTTCTGTCTCTTTTTAGATTACTCGATCCGTTGTGCGCAATCGTCACGAGCCTGGTGGGGTAAATGGTGTGCACTTATAGGCATGTTCAATTGTCGAGTATGCGCGTAATACTCGAAGTAGTTACGAGAGAGACAGACGCATATATGTCTGCACCGTTGAGTCGTCATCTTTTTCCAAACCCCGACTAGCAATATAGGAGTATTATATGTATAGGAATGGGTCACTTTCTGTAATTAGGTAAGAGCATGAAGTTTAACACCAACTGAGAGACTCCATAATAGGATAAGTTCGGACAGGATTTGTAAAGAATTTAAAAAGAATAGACGAGTTTGAAAGCAAAACTATAAGTTAAAAATACACAAAAGAAAAGTGAAATCTGAAAACTACGAAAACAGCACTATTGAAAAGGGTAGATAAAAGAAACAATTTAGACGTATGTTATTGGAAATGAAAAAAAGAGATTTTCAATAAGTGTGAAAAAAGTTAGAAAAGAAGTAAAAGTTAAAGAGCGAAGAATTAGATACGAAAAATAAAAGTATACACGAAAAGACAAACAGATTCGGAAAACAGAAATGCATATGTACAATAAATTAGATATGGAATATAAAAATGTCAAATTTACAGAAACAACAAATATACAATACTAACAGGGGCGAGTGTGGCAATAAACGCCACAGTCTTCTCGTAATTTTTATTAAAATTATTTCTTTTACCAGAATTTTTATTTATTTATTTTTAATTTTGTAGTAGGGTGAAGATTCGGGCTATAGGGCCGTGGTCTAAGTGAACTATTGTGTAGATAATCTACGTTCACGTTGTCAACGCAGCACTACCACTGAGGATGTCCGCCGCACGAAACGTCTGGACACAATAGTTCACTTAGACCACGGCCCTATAGCCCGAATCTTCATTCTACTGTGGATTCCGGCCGTGAAGGCCTTTGTGCTTATATATTTATAATTGTCTTAATTTTTATTAGTTTATTAGAACGATTACTTATTTTGTAGTATGTAATCTAATTCAGCAATATAACATCAATCATTAGTGTAGTTTGATTTCAGAGAAAACAATCTCCACAATAGTAAACGCGAAATAGCACCAAACGTTGGCTCTTCTCATGTGACAGTTTGTCAAATTTTAAAGAAACAGTTAACTCACCATGCGATTGTTTATTTAATCTAGTTTACACCCTCCAAAGCTCTGCAATTATTTCTGTTACACCCTGAATTTCCTAACATAAAGTCTGTCGTCCTTTGTAATATGCAATTGTGTGCTTTTTTGTACCGAATATGGTTTTCGAGATACAACTAATATGTTTGTTAATGCTAAAAAAATTATTCATTTTCTACAATATCGCTAAATATGACGAATAACTCCTATTTTTTTATTTAGTTTCTTTTTTTAAATGAAGAATGCAATTAGTTGATAATTCTGTGTCCTGTTGTTCTGTGCTGTCTTAAACAATGACGCATAAATTATAACTGTAACAATAATATATTAAACAAATATCGAAAGAAGAACATCTCTGACACCCTTAGTTGTCACATGCATCCTTTTTCAAATAGTATCTACTTTCTACTCAGTATTTCGATGTACTACTTTTTATTTTAGACTGCTGTACCAATCAATGACATCACTCAAGACAAGCGAAATTTTATTGAAAGGTATGTGGAGTTTATAGATGATAAGAGCGTTAAGAAATTCTTTGGGGAACCAAGGTGGGATGTAAATTCATTCCTGATAAGAAATAAACGTCAAGTGGAACAATTGGATACAAACCTTGATAATCAATCCTCGGAAGAAGAGCAGCCAGGATTCTTTGACAGGGCAGCTAAGTTTGTTGTCGAATTACTACAGCGATTTTTAAGATGGATTAACTCAGACAATTAATTTGAAAAAATGTGTAATTTAATAAACAATCTTAATTAATTTGCATTGTCAAAATTCTTTCAATTAAATAAAACTAAAGGTTTGATGTGAGAATAATATTGAAACATAATCAAACACCTTTTTGATTACTCGCTAATTTATTTAACTACTTCGTTTTTCATGAAAACCACTATTATTAATTGATTATAAATTCAGCAATATATCGCACACCGTATCGTTTCTGTACTTTTTCTACTCCGCTTTATATCGCCTGGTAACTTAAACTCCGACTTTGTGGCAACTATTTATAGGGGCTGACTTTATTCTAAAAAGATCCAAAATGTGACGTCTAGAGAATCTGGTCTTCTTTGTCACTATGTCTTGGGTTGTCTAAACGTGACACTGTATGTTGGGTTGCCTGCATGTGACATTGACCCCTTTGTAGAGAGCAAGCCGGTCATAGTCAAGATCGATGATCTTCATTTTTACCCGAGGTCCCATCTGAATTCGATAAGCAATGTCGTTGTCGCGTCGAGTGACGGTATATGGACTTGTTGTAGTTTTCTCTTTTTTGTAACTAACTTCTTACACTCTGTGCTGCTTTCCTAAGCGTTACTATTCTTATCCCCGAACTACCTTCCACCGATCCTGTATGTATTACTCTAAAGTACTCTAACGGACTTCACTAATGCCTACTATATCTAAATCTAATCTATTCATATCAACTTTCAAACTTTTTAGATTCCCTGCTTGAGTCATTGCCCTAACACTCTACGTTCCGACTCATGAATTACTGCACCTTTTCTTATTGCACTTGATAGACATCCCTCGAGGTAGTCCCCGCCCGGTCATCCGAATAGGGGGACTTGTTTACGTCAGGAGTGCTTTACCCCTGAGGACATCATTATTCCAGTTCGGTTTGTTTTATTTTGGACATCATAATGTAATGGTTTCCCGTTGCCGTCCACATCGCCGTATTATGCACGAGTGGCATACCGACCCTCATTTTTTCTGCCACCTTGAGTACTGAAAGAGCTGCTGCCCTCTTTCAGGGATTTGTCTTTATCTGGTTTCTCTTTAAGAATCCAACCATTATGGTTGAACCTACTGTCCAGCTCCCTAAATCCTCGAAACTGGCAAGCCGATCGACCCGCTCTAGTTTGTACAAGAAGTCTCGTCGGATCGGCCATTATGCTTAACGTTTCTTAAATCATAAGAACTTGTACCTTACACGATATAAAAAAGCAAGATGAGTAAAAAAAGTTGAATGATTGAATAATTTATTCCATGATTACTAAAAAATTATTATACAAAATATAGTTTAAAGAATAATACAACAAGTCGAACAATTAAATAGAACAATGCTTAAGATTGCATAATACATTAAGGCACCTACAATACGGTAAGCTACTATATTTGTGCACTTTTTTAATATAGCATCAATTAACAATTCTTATANGCTATCCAAGGATGGTACTATAGAATGTCACCTCAAGGTAGGCCTAGTGGCGTCATCTCTTGGTTAAGCCGGAAACTTATCAATCCACCCTCGTATTTCCAAAAACATCAGGGTAATAAAATGAAAGATACGTCAGATTTTAATGTGCACTTTGTACAAGAAATAGAAAAGCAGAATTGCTTGTATGACAATACAACTGCTGAATATAGTAACCGGGATATGCAAGAAGTAGCTTGGAATGAAGTCGCAAAAATAATGAAAGGAACTCGTAAGTCTAGTCTTTTCTTCGTTATATCGTTCTTCGACACTCACTGCCCTCCTGTAGTTGGTGTCTTTAAACGTCAAATTATTTTTAATTACCTTTACTAGTTTTGTAAAAGTTTTTCTTTCCATCCGATAAAAATTTTGAAATTTTCGTGGATTTAAATTCAATTGCTTTGAAATAATAAGCACGCTGTGTTCATTTACATTTTCTAATAAATACGGATGTATCCACATCCTCTTCCGCTTTTTTCTTCTATTTATTGCGGCGCAAAGTAGAACCGTAGCA